TATGAAAAAATTTTTACATATATAAAAAAAATGCCGGCCGACCGGGTCATTTTTTAAAATTTTATGTCACGAGAATCTAAAAAATTTTTTTGTCCTGCCTAATATACTATTTTTTTTTTTTGACCTTTTAATCTAGATAATTTATTCTCCGCATATTTCAAATCATCTTTGTTTCAGGTTTTGTATAATTTCCTTACGAAAATTAATCTATACATGATAGAAATGCATTAATAAAGGCTTAAATATTAATAAATTACAAAATCATTTGCACACCGGCCTTGTTTTTTATTTAAATAGATATATCCAAATGAAAAAAAATTTTAAAGCAAAAACAATGACCCTAATGTAAATCACCATGTATAATATATAAATTAACAAAATTTGAAAAGTTTAAAACTAGTGATAATGCATAAATTAATAGATTTATAAACTTGTATGATAAATATGGATTTATTTGCATCTTCCGATAGAATTTTTCTAAATTAATTTCTATCGGAAATACATAATAATTAATACTTGGTAAATAAAAAAGAATTTGAATTTTTAATCATCAAATATATTCCTTAGCCATTGTATCCTTTCGTATATTAATATTTCTTTTTTTGATATCCTGCGTAATACTAAAATATCTTCAAGAATAAAAAAAATACAACCATTTAATTTTACTTTCAATTCACTTAAAATTAGTGTTACAATCTGTTTCATACGTATTAAAAAAAATGTTGATTTTCCTATTTTTAATACTACTAAATGTATCTTAATTATGAGCCTTCAATTAATTTGGCTCAACAATGCGAATACAGTAATATTTTATTAAAAATAACATTTTATCATAACATAAAAAGGAATACTACCAAATTTATGATTATTTTTAAAATTAAAACGAATTAAGCGAGTTTATCCGTATAGTAACGCTTCTCAAAACCAACCTCATAATTGATATTTATTATCATTTTTTAATATTTCTTGAATCACTTGAATTCTTATAACTATTCACATTTGGTTAGAATAACTAACTATAAATAATTCTAATTATTCTTTGAACAATTTTTAATCATTTAATATAATATTACTATAGCAACACTTTATTATTACTATGATAAATTTTCAACATGGTACGTATGATATAACCCTTCGATCTACTAGACAAAGTTTAGTAAGCGCATTATCAACCTTTGACCCTAATAAAAAAAACAACATAATTATAAAGAACGAAAGAACGAACTTACTATGAACACAAAAAAAAAAAAATTTAACCGTTTGAAGTAACTACTTTCATTTTCCTTCAGAATTATCTTACAATACTTTGTTAACTATTGCACATCGTAGTGTATAAAAGAACTAAATGAATTATTCTGTTAATTAAATCATTTCAACGGAAATATGTGATGTCCGCAAAATTGTAGAAAACTGTTACGCCACCAAGGGATTTCTTCACCATCTTCCGTGGGGATTTGATAGACTACCTATAATTTAGGAAAGAAAATGTTAATGACGTTCCCAAATTAAAAAAAATATTTTATTAGATAATTATATTATGACCAATCTTACGGAAATATCGAAAAATAAAGTGATCGTAGTAACGAATTTGTATAACTTGTAACGCCTTTGTTCTTCAATCCGATAAATCCGACACATTCCATCTTCATCTTTGAATCATAACCATATGAAAAGGTTAAAAACAAAGCCAGGGACATTAAAGGTTATCGTAATAAATGGGATATTTGCGAATCGAGCAATGAACAAGATAATTTACGCCATAAAACACCTGTAAGTATCATGATATTGGTCGAATCATTCTTGATTAATTTGATTAATTTACAAGTTTGGTTTTCGTAAGGGACAAACAGTTTATGTAGTTCAGAAAGAAATCGTGTAAAACCCCTGATCTTCTTCGATGAGCAACATATTATGTTGGGTTTTCAGGATTCCACGATACTGGACGAAATCGTTATTACAATTGCCAAAGGGAAATAAGAAAATTCTCCCAAGAAAAAAAAAATTTGAATTAATTAAATAGATTCATTCATTTTGTTGAAACTATCACAACATACCGTTTCCAAGTTTCAGCTTCGAATTCTACGCTTGTTATACTTGTTATACACTACTCCAAATTTCGCCAATTTGTTACAAGATAATGCGTTATGTTCAAAGTCTTTAAATCTCCAAGCATAATTATAATTTCAAAACCTATTATAAATAAACGAAATATTGGAATATTTCAAATTTAATACATCAAAAGAGGGAATATTGAAGATGGATTTGAATTTTATTACAACGCATTGAATAAATTTAAAAAAGCTATATACTTACAAAGAGATTCAAATCTTTTTTGAATAAAAAAAAAAATCGATAATATGTGATGAGCTGTATCTGCTACATTCGCCATGTTTTCGATAGTTGTATTATTATTTTAGTCCTATGATGCTAAATATGTAATGGTCTGTGACCTGTTTGTAAAAGATACAATTATAAAATATTTCGTTATAATATGTAAAATCTATAACGTTGGCAAATAAATATTTTTTTTGTACCTAATATCAATTCACAGAATAATATTATTATTCTAAATTAAATATACAAATAAATGCAAATCAAGATTTAAAACTATTACTAGCTGTAGCCTGTTACGTTGCAACAGGTTAATTCATTATATGGGCCATTTCCTTTTTCTGTTACGGTTTCGTCTTTCTTCTAAATATAATTAAAATTTTACTACAACTTATGTTAGAGAATGGAGACAACAAAAATGAACAATAGAAAAATAGTAGCAAAAAAAATCCTTTTATTTTTATTGGTGTCATTCAACAAAAATGTATAATAATAATAAAAAATGAAAAATTAATTAAAAAAGATTTATTTTTAAAAAATGATATTAAAAAATAGGTATTGAAATTTTTTTTCGGTTTGAAAAAATTTTTATAAAAAAAATAAACTACCCTAGCGTTGTGCGAGGACCCCGAGCAATACTGAAATAGGTAACAAGAAATAACGCGTAGAATAGGCTAAAATAATCATGAAAATCTTTCCTTTTTTAGATAAATTTTGATAACGTTGGTAAGAAATATATTACTTTATTTAGTAACTGACTGACATTATCATAATTCCGGCCCTGAAAAAATGCGTAGAGCTAATAGTAAAATTTTGCCAATTTCCTATGACCTATTTATATATTGTTCGGGGTCCTGTTGTGCGGTGACAAATAATTTATTTTATTTTATTTTTTTTTATTTTATTTCTAAAAGAGTAGTAGATCTAAGACTATTACAAATAAAAGTAGATAGCATTTTCATGCGAAATAACTAATATGCGTGTATAGAACCCAGAACTTCATCCCCCTTCGGGACCTCACTCTTCGGTCAAAACTATTCGAATAAATAGGACTAATCAAATGGTGCGGTGACAAATAATGAGTGAAGAATAAGATTTTATCTACTGATCAGGGACGATGATTTTTTGTGATCACAGAATTTCACAGAAAATCACAAAATTTGGCTATAAAATGTTGATAATTTTCAAGTTTTTGGCCTGATTTAGGATTTGAAATTATTATAATTCCGGCAGACACTAAATTTGGCCAGAATTTACGAATCGTAATGTTGGCCAACCTTGCATAATTCTGGCCAAATCACAAAATTTCACAAAATTTACTTTTATCACACACAAAATTTACTTTATACCGCCGCAAAAAATCATCGTCCCTGCTACTGATTTTACATGGTCACGTGATCAGTGCTGAACATCAAAATTTCACTATCACGTGGTTTTTGGCCCGCATTACGGCATTATGACTAACGTGTGAAAATAAACAGTGACGAATAATGTGACAAATAAGTTTTTGCCCACTCGAAAAAACCGTCCTCAGATATAGTAGAGGGTGTGATGCCTATGATGAATATTTTCCACGTAATCGTGAAAATTTGATGGTGTTACTTGGAAAATTTTTTTTTGGGTAACGATAAAATAATGGTGCTCGCCAATCCGATCACTGGTCCAAACCTAAAGGGCAGTGATGTGCATTGGAAGCTTTCTAATGGTTCAAATGCAATATCACTGCAGTAAAAGGGAAAAGAACAAAAAATCAAAAAAGGAAAATAAAAATCCGGTTTAAAAAAACCGTGAAAGGAAAAAAAAATTATTATTAAAAAAAATCAGTCTCAAAAGAACCGGAAGGAAGAAAAAAAAAAATCTAATTTTCAAAACCCGGAAAAAAAAATTTCCTCGACAGACGATCAAACACGAAAGTGGTTATCATGCTACCCAATTTAAGGAGGGTAATAAATATGATCCCGTTATGGTAATCTGTCGAAAGACTGTGTTCCTTTTTGAAACTTAGGATGATCGGCATTTAATTAATTATTCTTGAAAAAAACAAAATACAGTAAATATTATCTAATAAATGCCAAGACTTTAGCTAATTACTGATAAATAAATATCCCATGGAGAATGGTATAAGAATTTTCTTTAAGCTGATCGTTTCTTTAACATCGTGCTACAAGCAAATTAGTGCAACTATAAAATGTATATATACTATGGCAGTTTTCAGAGTGCCAGTAAAGAATAAATTTTAAATTATGGATCAATTAATCGACTCATCAAATGACACATCTGTAAGTCATCCATCAATTGACTTATCGAATTACACATCTTTAAGTCTTCCATCAATTAACTTATCAAATAACACGTCTTTGAGTTATCCACCAATTGACCAAACTAAGGAACTAATATCTTTAAATTATCTAACACAGAACACGCTTAAATCTGAGGTTAAAAAATGTACTGAATGTAATAAGGAAGAAAATTTTGCGAATGAAATGCATGTGATTCGTCATCCATATCATAAAGAAGCAACAGTTACTCTAAGTGGAAATAAAGTAATTGATGATTTTATAATCAGTATACTAAGTAATCGTACCAATTATAAACATAAAAGATTGGTGAATTTGGAATTTGTTCCATATGAAAGGTTTAAGAATATAAAATTTATCGCTGAAGGAGGATTTAGTAAAATTTATAAAGCTACTTGGATTGATGGTCCATTAACTAGCAAATGGGATTATGAAAAAAAAGAATTTATTCGTAAAGGTAGAAAAACAGTTGCTCTCAAAGAACTTAATAATTCTAAAAACATTGAATCTAAAGAGTTAAATGAGGTACAGTATCATCTTGTTAATTCATAGATATTAAGTTTAAAAATAACTATACTAACTAACATTATTTTAGCTTAAAATATTTTATAATTTTATTTTAAAACATACTTATTCTAATGATACTGATAATAAGACTAATCGATATTTCGGAATCACTCAAAATCCCAACACACACAATTTTATGATAATTACAAATTATTACAAATCAGGAGATCTAACACATTATTTCAAAAGATTTTTTTAATATTAGTTGGAGAATGAAATTAAATAAATTAAGAGACATGATAAAAGGACTTAAAATGCTACATGATGAAGGTGTTATCCATCAAGATTATCACAGTGGAAATATTTTTAATGCAGGAAACAAAGGTGCATCTGCAATAACAGGAGATTTTGGAATAAGTAAATCTGCAATTGAAACATCAGATGATGATAATGAGGTTTATGGGATCATTCCGTATGTTGCCCCAGAAGTTTTTCAAGGACAAAAATATACTAAATCATCAGATATATATAGTTTTAGTATGATTATGTGGGAATTAATGACAGGTAGAAGACCATTCTGGGATAGAAGCCATGATACAGAACTTATTATTGAAATATGTGATGGTCTTCGACCTCCAATTGTCACAAATGCACCTGAAGGTTATATTGAATTAATGCAAAAATGTTGGCATTCTGATCCAAATGAAAGACAAAGTGCTAGTGATGTTTTGAAAGAATTTAACTATCCTAATAATTTGGGTAGATATGATGGTTACAATAACCAAACTAAAATCATAAGTTCACCAGATATCGGACCTGTAACAACAAATAATCCAGGCGCCATCTATAAAAGTAGGCCATTAAGTACGATGATAAAATCTGCCAACTTTACAAGAAGTCTAAGATTAAAAAGTCTAGTATTCGGTAATAAAATTATGTTTTATATCTGCCATAATTTAACAGTTTAGAATTTAAATAATATTAATATAATTTATTAATTAAGACAAGAGAAAGTTTAATAATAATTTGATTGAGAATAATAATAATAATAAAGGTATTAAATTAAGTACTATTTTATCAATTAATTTAATTATAATATTACTAATTCATTTGTAATGATATTGTTTTAGATAAAATCCATAAAAGACTTAAATATTGTGAGGAACAGAATGATGGTAAATGCAAACAATATTTTTTCATAATATGTACTATCTTACATAAATAATCAAATTTGTTATTTTTCTTGTAGATTACTTAACACAAGAACTCGAATTTGATATTAATTGTAATACGAATTCTAACAAATCTGAAGACAATGGTAAGCAATTAATAATATTTGTAATACTAATTTTATTTTATTAATATCTATTTTTATTATGTAGATTATATTACCAGTGAACTTAATTTTGATATTTAATTCTTTTGAATTTAAAAATTCAAAATTTCGAGGTTTTAATATTCAAGATTTTTATGTTTTATTATGACTATACTATATTGTATTTAATAATGGTGTAGTTAGCCTAAAAATTCAGCCGAGGGCACAGTAAATTTTCGGCTAACAACACCCAGCCGAAAAAAATTCATATTGATCTTGAATATTGTATTGGTTCAACATCTACTATTTTCGGCTGAATATTTTCGTCTAAATACACTTTTTTTAAATAATAGTGTAGTTAGCCAAAATGTCCAACCAGGAGCGCAAGAAACGCCAATACACATACAATTTTCCAGGAGACCAAAGCGAATCAGCAAGACAAGGAAGCAACATCAAAGTGTGATGATTTATATATATTTAATTTAATCAATTTACTTATTAACTTTAAATTAACATTTTAAAATTTATTAAACTTACAAACTAATAATAAATCAAAGTTCAAACGCGGGGTTTCTAAAAAAGTAAATTTTCTATGCTGATCATTTAATGTTGGGCAGAATTAAATTTAACGAAAAATCAGGAAAAAAAAAGAACTTGTTAAATAAATCAAAATTGACATTTAAAATTAACTTTGACTCTTTAAGTAAACTTGCAGAACAAACAAAAATACACATATTGCATATTTTTTAAAAAAATTATATTTATTAAATTTTTTTTTACATAATAAAGTCACGTGATACTTGTTTGAACACCACGAAACTTTCAAATAATAATTTTATAATCATTTATACTTTATTAAGCTATAAAAAATGTTATTTACGGTCAACTAAAAATAAATAATGTAGTTAGCCGTAAATATCTAGCCGTAAATAGTAGTAGTTGAATAAACAAATTATTCAAGACCGACATGGATTTTTATCTTTAAACAATAATAATGATATTAATATTTTTGTTAGCCGAAAATTTACTGCGCCTTCGGCTGAATTTTTCGGCTACTACACCATATACAATTATCAGTATATAATTATTATGAATTTATTTCTTATTCACATTACCTATTCATCAACATATTGTAATCAAAATTTAAAACTATTACTAGCTGTAACCTGTTACGTTGCAACAGGTTAATTTATACTAATACTTGTGGGCCATTTCCTTTTTCTGTTACAGGCTCGTCTTTCTTTTAAATTTTGTTTTATATAATTAAAATTTACTATAACTTATGTTAAAGAATGGAGAAAACAAAAAAAAAATTACAATAAAAAATGAACAATAAAAAAATAGTAGCAAAAAAAGTCTTTTTATTTTTATTGGTGTTATTCAACAAAAATATATAATAATAATAAAAATGAAAAAACCAATTAAAAAAGATTATTTTTGGTTTGGACCGAAAAAAAAATAAAGAAAAAAATGATTATAATAATAAGTATTGAAAATTTTTTTTTCGGTTTGATAAAAAAAAATGGTGCGATCACTGTCCAAACCTAAAGGGCAGTGATGTGCATTGGAAGTTTCCAAGAATTGGAATTGTGTATATTCCAATAATTTTCAACACATAATATATAACGTAAACAGTATATATTTTGGGAAGCTTCCAATAAAAATTTATTGGCATTGGGAATTTTGGATTGGAAGATTCTAATAGGTCCAATGCACATCACTGCAGTAAAAGGGAAAAGAACAAAAAATCAAAAAAGGAAAATAAAAATCCGGTTTAAAAAACCGTGAAAGGAAAAAATTTTATTATTAAAAAAAAACCAGTCTCAAAAGAACCTGAAGGAAGAGACAAAAAAAATTCTAAAAAAATTCAGGAACTGGAGAGAACAAAAAAAAATTTTTAAAAAAAAAGAAAAAAACCGATTTTTAAAAAACTGGAAAGAACGAAAAAAAAATAAATCCGATTTCAAAAATTTCGATCAAACTATAACAAACACGGAAGTGGTTTTCATGTTACACAATTCAAAGAGGGTAATCTAAATATCACCACAATTTTTGTTATTTAGATGCAGATCCCGTTACGGTAATCTGTCAAAAGATTGTTTTCCTTTTTTGAATTTAATTTATCATTATTGAAAAAAACCAAATACAGTAAATATCTAATTATCCAAGACTTTGGCTAATTATTGATTATACTTTTCCATTATCGGACATACAAAGTAGTGATAAATAAATATTCCATGGAGAATGTTATAATAGAACCTTACTTTTGAAAGGGTTGTTATTTATACTTTTATATTCGTAAACTCCGGTCAAAGAATTTTCTTTAAGCTGATCGTTTCTTTAAAAGGATACGATTAAAATTTTCGACCGTTTTTATTGTAAAATTTCCTTTTAAATCATCATGCTACAAACAAATTAGTGTAACTATAAAATGTATTTATATTATGGTAGTTTTTCGAGTGCCAGTAAAGAATAAAATTTAAATTATGGATCAATTAATCAACCCATCAAATGATACATCTGTAAGTCATCCATCAATTGACTTATCGAATTACACATCTTTAAGTTATCCCCAAACTGATCTACAACCAATGAATTATACATATTATACATATCCATTAATTGATTTATCAAATAACTCATCTATAAATTATTTACCTGTTAACTTACTGGATTACAATTATCCACAAATTAATTTATCAGATAATACATCTTTAAGTGATGACCTACCAGATTACACATTTTTAGGTTGTCTACCAATTGACTTATCAAATGACACATTTATAAGTAATCCACAGATTGACTTATTAAATGATTTGAATCATCCACAAACGAATTATTCTACCTCAAATAATTCATCAATTGATTTATCATCTGACACATCTTTAAATTCACCAATTGATTTACCAGACAACACATCTTTAAGTCATCCATCAATTGACTTATTAAATAACACGTCTTTGAGTTATCCACCAATTGACCAAACTAAGGAACTAACATCTTTAAATTATCCAACACAGAACACGCTTAAACCTGAGATTAAAAAATGTACTGAATGCAATAAGGAAGAAAATTTTGCGAATGAAACGCATGTGATTCGTCATCCATATCATAAAGAAGCAACAGTTACTCTAAGTGGAAATAAAGTTATTGATGATTTTATTATCAGTATACTAAGTAATAGTGCCAATTATAAACGTCATAAATCAGTAGTGAATTTGGAATTTGTTCCATATGAAAGGTTCGAGAAAATAAAATTTGTTGCTGAAGGAGGATTTAGTAAAATTTATAAAGCTACTTGGATTGATGGTCCATTAATTAGTAAATGGAATTATGAAAAAAAAGAGTTTAATCGTAAAGGTAGAAAAACAGTTGCTCTTAAAGAACTTAATAATTCTAAAAACATTGAATCTAAAGAGTTAAATGAGGTACAGTATCTTGTTAATTCACTAATATTAAGTTTAAAAATAGCTATACTGACTAACATTATTTTAGCTTAAAATATTTTATAATTTTATTTTAAAACATACAAGTATTGATAGTTTCAATTACAATAATCGATATTTTGGAATCACTCAAAATCCCAACACACAAAATTTTATGATAATTACAAATTATTACAAATCAGGAGATCTAACACATTACATTTCAAAAGATTTTCTTAATATTAGTTGGAGAATTAAATTAATTAAATTAAGAGGCATGATAAAAGGACTTGAAATACTACATAAAGAAAATATTGTCCATCAAGATTATCATAGTGGAAATATTTTTGTTAGAAACAGTAATAATGATTATTTTCTTGCATCTGTAGTAACGGGTGATTTTGGAATAAGTAAATCTGCAATTGAAACATCAGATGATGATAATGAGGTTTATGGAATCATTCCGTATGTTGCTCCAGAAGTTTTTCAAGGACAAAAATATACTAAATCATCAGATATATATAGTTTTGGTATGATTATGTGGGAATTAATGACAGGAAGAAGACCATTCTGGGATAGAAGCCATGACACAGATCTTATTATTGAAATATGTGATGGACTTCGCCCTCCGATTGTCACAAATACACCTGAAGGTTATATTGAATTAATGCAAAAATGTTGGCATTCTGATCCAAATGAAAGACCAAGTGCTAGTGATATTACTAAAAAATTTGTTTACTATTCTAGTAATTCGGCTGTATACAAAGAACGCGATAACCCAACTAAAATCATAAGTTCACCAGATATTGGACCTGTAACAACAAATAATCCAGGCGCCATCTATAAAAGTAGGCCATTAAGTACAATGATAAAATCTGCCAACTTTACAAGAAGTCTAAGATTAAAAAGTCTAGGATTTGGTAATAAAATTATGTTATTTATATCTGCCGTACTTTAATAGTTTAGAATTTAAATCATATTAATATAATTTATTAATTAAGACAAGAGAAAGTTTAATAATAATTTGATTGAGAATAATAATAATAATAAAGGTATTAAATTAAGTACTATTTTATCAATTAATTTAATTATAATATAACTAATTCATTTGTAATGATATTGTTTTAGATAAAATCCATAAAAGACTTAAATATTGTGAGGAACAGAATGATGGTAAATGCACACATAATATGTTTTTCATAATATGTATTTTGCATAAATAAATCAAAATTTGTTTTTTTTCTTGTAGATTACTTAACACAAGAACTCGAATTTGATATTAATTGTAATACGAATTCTAACAAATCTGAAGATAATGGTAAGAAATTAATGATATTTGTAATACTAATTTTTATTTTATTAAAATCTATTTTTACTATTTAGATTATATTACCAGTGAACTTAATTTTGATATTTAATTCTTTCGATTATGACTATACAGTATTTATGTTAAATTATTATTATGAATTTATTTACTTTATTTATTGTTTATCATCATTTATTTATATTTATTAATGTTATATTATTACCGTATTTCCATCAAAAAAGTTTATTAAAGTAGTACATTAATAAAATATTGGCAAGATTAATTAATAAACTATTTTGATACGTTAAAGTTTTTTAACAGATAATTATAAATTGCTGCGTTATAAAAAGTTTATGATAGGAAAGTTTAATATGCAAATTGTAGGTAAAGATATTTTAGATGTTAGAAGTATTCGTATTTCGAAAATTCATGCTATAAAGAGGTAGAGATACTTCAAATATTTCGAATATAATATACTAGCATCGAATAAAATAAGGGTTAATAAATAATTAAAAAAAGCCATAAATAATTAATATAAAACATTCATACTATTTACTTCTCAAGATAGTACTTAGGTTTTGTATACTATAATATTAACAAATATTATTAATGTGATTGCAATTCTTGCAAAATTTTTTTATCCGTGTCAAATCAAAATTGAAGATGCAAAAACCTCACATTTATTTTAAAAAAATTATTATTTTAGTAATGAATGAAAATTACATTAGTCTAAGTGGTGGTTCGTTTCAAAAATACGATTTGTTGTAAACCGAAATTTAAAGGGGATACGTATTCAAAATGAATGACAACTGCTACAACGACTTATTTGATTAAAAGTAAGTTTATAATTCCTTTTTTGGTAAGGTTATATCTATAGTTATATAGAATATCAATTGATTATATCATACAGTTTTTAAAATCTCAATTTTCAGTCATTGACTAAGTTACTAAGACTTTCTATTTCTGTCAAAGTTATTACAGTATTATGGAATTATAAGATTTACTAGATAGTATCCTTATCAACCGAATAATAATAATTACACTATCAGAACTTTAACTAATTAAATATATGGTATACAAAATTTTTGATATGTGATTATAAATAATGTTTGGTTTTGAAAGAGAAAATGAACATTACGCCACATCTTAAACCAAATTTTAAATTGCTTTATCATTTTGAATATAGACATAACACACATCTTGTCTGTTAAAATAATCTTGATTAATATAATCCGGAATACGGAAAAATAATTTAGCAGCGTTACTATTTTCATGAACCCTCCTTTTTTTTACGTATACTGTATATATCTATTTTTGAATGATATATACTCAATATTTTATTGTTTCAAATATACAATATATATATTCATTATTTTCATTATATGTAGCAAAATACCAATGGAAATAAATATATGTTGCTCGTTTTAAATGATGCAATAAATCTCTTAAACGAATTTACAAATTGGATTAGTAAAAATGAAAAAGTTGATGGATTATTAATAATCAATAGGAGCATTGAATGAATATCATACAACTAATTTAAAAATAGCTATAATATATTCAACTTTATGAGAGGATAAAATAAAATATATGTTTTTATAAAATTAAAATCAGCAATAATTTCATAATCAATACTTTTAACAATATTGTGTTTTTTTAGATGGATATGATAAAAGGCGTAGGATTTTGTTGTTGTAGTAATTTTACTAAAAATTGTGATTATTATAGAAAAGAAAATAACAACAGTACGATATCATTTCTATTAAATTATATAAAATTGATAAATTTCTTTTGCAGCATTTTCTAAATCTCATCAGAGTTAAACCATTTTTATCAGTTAAAATATTATCGTCACCAACTTCAATATAAATAATATAAATTTAATTTTTTTCGATTCAATACTTTATACTTTGTTAAATTTCATCTTTAAGTAAATGTTTTCTAATACTAAATATTTGAAGATTATCATTTTGATCAAGTATCATTAAAAGTTATGCTAAATTAATACAATAATAATGTACTGTGAATGTTATGTGAATTCTTGTATATCTTGTGGAAAATTAATAACATTTCCTCTGTATCTATTTTGTTTTCCCCGAAATCAACATACTTGACATTACTGTGAATACTTGTGATATTAATATCTTAGTTACCAATTTAACTACACATTTCCTGATAGATTCCAACAACGCGATAGGTCAAGTATTTTTGAGCAGTACATTAAAGTCGTATGTTTAGGAATCGGGTAAACGTTAGCATTACGCCATTCATTCAGAATATCGCCCATTCTACGTTAAGCCAACTTATAAATGCACTGCTGTTATTTCTTCTATTTCTGTGAATGTGTGTCCATTGCTTTATCCAATTTCTTTTTTTTATAAACTTTTTTTTTCACTTTTTAATATAAAAAGCTTAAAATCATGTTGATAAAATAATAAGAATTTTTATAACTATTTACATATTATTTTTTTTTTTGACTTAACATTGTATTTTGGATCTCAATTTTTTCTTTCAGCATTATTTTTTTAAATATCAAAGATTTTTTCTTTTTTGGTTAAGCTTCATTTTGAATTCTTTACAATATATGATAATGAGTTCTTTATCGTCTTGCATAGAAATTCCCTAACTACCTTTTTTCCTTTGTCTTTACATTTTAAGTCAGAATTAAGGTATTTATTATGATGATGGTGATGTAAAAGATTATGTATGAAAACTTATTTAATAAATTAAAATTTTTTGAAATGTATTTTAAATATTTGTAATAGAATTTTATAAATTGAAAAATAATAATAAAATTTTCATTTGTAGTTTCAATATTAATGAATGTTTCAAAATAAGTATATATATCTAAGGTTGCTGGTATTAGATTATCTAATAGATCAATATGATACCCCATATTTTCAGATGTTTTAAATCTTCCATAATATATTTTTTTTAACCAAGAGCCAACCTTCATGTGAAACTTCTTGCTTACTATAAAAGCTAAAGTTAAATATTGAATTAATTTTACTAATTTTAAAAAAAATTTTGATAAAATAATGTTTAAAATTAAATGATACTTACGCGTTCAAAAGTAATTTTTTTTCATAATTAATGATCCAACTCGATCCTCCATATACAAGATTATTTATAATAAAAATTGAGTTGTTTTAATATTTTAAAAAAAATAAAATAATATAAAAATATTAAAAAAAATAAAATTTTTCTTTCAGAGTTATTATTTCATACTCAGTAATGTAAAATTAAGGAAAAAATTTTGATTTTATATAATAAAATTGGAAACGACTAATGAAAATTATATTTTAAAGGTTAATTAAGAGAGAGAGTTATTATTTAAAAAATTGATATCATTAAAATATTTCAAGAATGATGGATATTTTAAAAGATAGATTATTTTCAATTATATAAAAGGTATGATTTTGTTGATTTTGTTTTATTTGTTCTATAAAAAATTTTTTGTTTTTTTTCTTCATTTTGATATTTTGATTTTTTGAACAAAGTTTTGATAAATGTAATAATAATATCGAATTGTCAATTAAAAAATCATTATAAATTTTTGTAAATAAAAAAAAAAATAAAAAAGAATATTAAAAAGAAAATTAAAACATGTAAATAATGGGATTCAAATATTTATAATTGTTTCGATTGATAATAATAAAAAAATTTTTTAATGGTCTTGCAAATAATTTTACTAATAAATTTATAAAATTTTACCATCAAAGGGATCAAAGGGATAATTTGAATTAAAGTTTCAACCCATGTTGAACTCAACATTAATTCATTGCGGTTACGCATTTAAATAATATAAATGACGAATAAACATCCCAGTAAACTTGATGGGTTGTGCATGGACGCGTAAACCGTGTCAGGATTGATGCTACCAGTAAGTGCAGCTGAGGAAGGGCAGGAGGAGAAGAAGAATTTTCAACGGTAGTTTTTGAATTTTCCTTGGACTTGTGTATTGTGATGGCCATGGCTTCTTTTCCTGCTCTTCATCTTTCTTTCAGATAACCGGTTTCCTCAATCGTTTAGCGATAGTTAATCCGAATTTAGGATTCATAGCTAATAGTTGCCCAATTCGTAATATTGGCAGGTTGGTCGAGGAATTGCTGTGGAGTATAAGGTTCGACCATCCGGTTGACACACGAGACATATAAATGTAAGCTTTTCTTCATCATGTCGGTTTGATAGACAAAATAGGAACGATTTTGATAAGAAATATTAAATAATTTAAGAAAATCAAATATTATTAAGAAAATATTTTTTAGGAAGATTATTAATGTTATACAATTTAAATATATTTCATTTTTTTTAAAGGTATAATTATATTAATTAAGATAATTGTATTGTTCCAATATATCTTTTAATTTATCTTGAAATAATTTGATAATAAATGAGTAAGTTGTTGATGATGATGATGAAAAGAATGATTATAAAATTATTTAGGAATTTACGGACGGTATATAAAAATATAAAAAATATAAAAAATATAAAATTAGGAATTATATATAAAAATTTATAATAAGTAAAAAATATTTCTTTTTGAAAGAATTTTTTATTCACGTATATTTTAAAATTAGAAAATTGTAATAATTTCATTATCTTTTATGTACGAATATTTTTAGTAGTTTTTTAAATATATGTATATATTGAATATTTATTAGATGATTCTTTAGCAGTTTTCATTTTAAATAATAATCTTTGATAAAAATATACATTTAATATAGAAAATAGTTTTATATAAAGAAAGAAAATTTTTTTTTTTTTTTTTTAGATGATTTAGAAAGAGCGAGAATTGAAAAAAAAATTTATTTTTTTTCTGAAAGTTATCATATAAACGTTATGTAAAGCTAACCCAATAAGTAAACATTTTACCCAAAATAAAATAATCATTAATATGAGTCATCGCCGCGGATGAAGTTCACAATTACGGAGTTTCCCGTTATCAAATCAAGAATCCATCATAATTTTCACATGACCGAGAACAAATACAATAAGTTGTACGTCTGTCATTATGAAGTGAAATACATTAAAAAAAAAAATGAAAAGGATAATTTTAGTAATGGCCTCCTTTTTATTATAACATCACGTAATACGTGTACGTGTATACGCACAAGAAATTTTTTATAAATACCTTCTCCAAAATCTTTAACTTGATTACTGTCCGATTCTTTGTGTACAAAAGTAGTTAGAAAGAATACACCGAAGTGACCGAACCATCATCACATACTTGAGATAGTACAATTAATTAGTTGTCTACGTTTGGTACTCAGAGACTTACTCCAACTTCCTCTCTTTCAAGGTCAAAGTTCGCTCTTCTGCCTCACCACAATGGAAGTTTCATGATTTTTTTTTTGACTTCCAAAATGTGCCTGCGTTTTTCAAATCCTCCTAAAAAATTGAAAAAAATGTAAATATAAAACTCCCCTTATCAAGGGCAAGTCAGAATGAATTAAAAACTTTAAAATCACTTACTTTTTTATTGTTGAGCAACTTTTTTGCTCTTTTAAATTTTTTGTTTGGTCGAGGCTTAACCATAGCTAAATGATTTAAATAATTTATGTGCGGAACCTCTCTCGTATAGCGACATTCGCCTTGATTTTTCTTATCTGGTACATTCTTTAGTGGACTTGAAAAATTGCAGGTAGCGAGAACGCTTAGTTTCTCGTGATTTTAGCAACCTTCTTTCCTTGCAATAACTCAAGTATCCGATTAATGACCAGTCTTCATTTTCAGAATAACTACACATAAAAAAGCTTTGTAAGTAATGTATAAACGTTAAAATTTCTATGTTAATCGTTTACATACTTAGGAACATTATTTACTGAAAGATAAAAATACAATTCGATTTTTTTTATCAATAAGAAAATTTTCAGTGCGGTATAAAAGGTTAAAATAAAATAATTTGTATTAATATATCGATATTACGATATAACCGCAAAAGTTACGATTCGAGTAATAAAAATCTAACTTTTTCATATTTATTTTCTAATATGTTGATATCAAACTCGGATCATAATAGAAATCATATGATTCGGCGTAACTTTTAATGATTGGTAAGACAGACCATGTGAATGTGAGTATAAATTTATACGATTATACGATCGTTTAAAATTGACAATGGAAAATTAAATTGATGAAAATTTACCCCTAAGTGCGACAATATAAAATAATCCTGGTATTGTTCGCTCTTTTATATGTATTTTGTTATAAAATGAAAACTGTAAGAGAGTAGATTAAATTTTTGAAGTGAGAATAAGTTGAAGGGCAACGACTACTCGAGCTCAAAAATAAATAGTATAGCTGATTTTAGCACATATTAGCGTTAATCCTTAAATCTTAATGGTACACATTTAATAGATAAAATGTAAAAAAATTTATTATCGCGTGTTTGCGTGATAAAATTCAATATCCATACAAACCAATTACGTATTGAAAAATAAAAAAATAAAAGAATTTTATTAATTAATTATATATATTGAATTATAAAACTAATTTATAAAAAAATATCAGTAGCAAAAAAAAAAACTTGATATCCTTAATAAAAAAAAAATTTTTTTTTAATAGCCTCTAACGATAGTTAAAAAATTACTGATTATTCTTGTCCTTCAAGAATGGAATTTATCATTTGTAACATTTCTTCATTTGTTGCATTTTCACTTTGACTTAATTGTTCTCTAAAAATTCCTTTATTTGATTTAATATGATTTTCGTAGAAATTTATTAATCCTTGTGCATTGCATTCTCTTGAAAGTTTTAGAATTAAATAAACTTCCTGAATATTGACATATTGACCTTTTTTAATAGAAGTTTCTACAATATTTTTGAATTCTTCAACTTTATAAATATGAGTTACTTTTAAAACATTCATAATAAATGATATATATGCAGAACTAGGTATCTCATTTGTTGCAATTGTTTTTGCGACCTCAAAAGGTTGTCCGTATAACCATCGAAGTAAAATCTCTATACTAATTGGTTGAATATCATCTGGAACATTGATTTCTATCTCACTTCTCTCGCTTAAGCCATGAAACTCCCTTTCAAAATGTTCTGAAGCAGCTATGTAAAAAAAAAAATTTAATGAGGAAAAGAAGGAAAAAAAAAAAATTTCAAAGTAATATTAATAATAATATAATATACCTGAAAGCACATATCTATTAGCACCAATTTTCTTCATGCCAACATTAAAGATGACATCATGATACTCATTATCTTGTTGTTCTGTAAGTTTTTTCAGCAAAGTATTAAGTAACACTTCTCGTTGATTTCCGTTTGTTTCGGGAATTTCAGTAGGGATCATTTTGCAAATAAGACCCATGCTCTTCAGAGCTTCCAAACAAACAGCATTATCTTGTAATTCTGACGGTAAAAATTTATCATCTTTAAAAATTCTGCGGAATATTGGAACATTCATGTCATATAAAGTATTGATTTTTACAAATTCAGTAAGTGCTTTATTAGGGAACATTGGATATTTTATAAGATATTGTACGATTTTATCATTCCTCCATTTATCAGATAGAATTTCCCTCAAGAAAGTGATGTATTTTGGATGTTTAGAAGGTGTTGGAAATAATGTAATAATTTGTTGTATTAAATCTTCGAGTAACTCTAATCCACTCATACAGGCTGCGCCTAATTTAGTAAGTGATGCACGATCCTTTTTGGTAGGCTTGTAAACATTTGAGTTTTCACGGAAGGAATAAAATGGAAAACCGTGTGGTAAAAGAATTCCAGATGTGGCATCGAAGAACTTGTCATCGCACAAATTCACTTCCCAAATGGGTAAAGATCTAGGAATATCCATAAAATTTTTTTGATTTTGTTGTTGCGCTGTTAAGATAAATAAAATTATTAAAAAAAAAATTATTTTACTCAAAATTTAAAGCAGGTGATTTTTTTTTTTGCTAATACTTGCCTACAAAAGCATCCATTCCCTCTCTAATAAGTGTTCTAAATAATATATATTCTTCAGGTAATATTTCACTAATCTCAAATAATTGCTTCATAGTTAAAGATAAAGATGAACGAATTTTCTCCAAAGAATTGATGATATTTACAGGAGTACATTCGACAATACATTTTTTGAGATTTTCATGAGCTTTTTCAGGAACTACCATATTAGTAATGTGCACATTTAACTTCATTAATGCCGGATATAACGGATATAATGTATGCCCACTTTCAGGTATATATATGATTGGATTATTTTTATCAGGCCTAATAAGCATATCAGAAGGTTGAACTACCGGTATTAGAGGAAATTTAGAGAGTTTGTTAAAATCTACTTTTTTCATGTCTTTATATAATATTGCCCAAATTTTTTTAAGCCAACTTTTATTTGGTAAAGAATTTCCATCTGGAACCCATTTTAATTCTCTAACAGGTTGTATCACACTTCTTAAAAGATCTAAGATACCCGAAGCATCAAACTTTTTAATATTAGTACATGCACAAAAATTATCATCAACAAAAATTTTCTGTAGATTTTCTGGTAATTTAGTAGAGACAAATTTTGATGGTCCAATATTCGGGAACAGATCTAGATGTTTTTGTTTACCAACGTAATAAACTTCACCAAATTTGCCGACCGATCCATTGTTTAGGGGAACTAATGGTAAATCAGTAAGAGTTCCAAAAGAATTCTTATCTTGAAGAATAAAACTTAGCAATTCGAACAATGAATCACGGTTATATTGCATATTACCATCATTACTAATATTATTAAAAGAAGGTATTGAAGATATCACCATTTGTAATTCTTCACAAACTGACTCTCCACTGACAGGCATGTACGGGAAATTTGGAGGGTCTCTGGATTCAACGATTTTATTAAGTTGTTCGATTTTATCTCTATCAAGCTTCACAGTAGGAACTCCTGAGCTAACCAATATATTTGCAATTATTGCTTCTTCTACTTCTTCAAAAATTTTTGCTTCTTTTAGTGAAATAAATTGTCCGCCATTAAATTCGGTCCAGAAAACTCTATGGTTACCAGTACCTAGCGTTTTAATAACATTTAAATAATAATCTTCGTACAAACTTATAGTTGAATTCCTCGTAATTGGCCAAAGATTATTTGAGATATATGAAAGGAAATTTGCTTCTCGATTCTCGTGCCTGTCTACGACATGATTAAGTAATTTAACGTGAAGATAAGGTAAAACATCGTACAGAATATATCTATTCCATTTTGCATTGATACAATCGCCTTGTAAGAAATCAGTTTTAGACTGCAAAATACCATTTCTTGCACTAGGTAGAAAAAAATTTCCATTCAAATGGACTCCCAAATTGGTATTTATTGATAGAGACAAGTAAGAATACATTTCTCCTCTAAGTTTGGGAGGATTTATTATCTGCAATACAAAATAAATGTACTTTTTTTAATAATATCGTAATATAAACAGAGATAAAAAAATAACGATAATTACCGATTCATTTCTTAATTCGTCCAGTGATTTTTCAGAAGATCGAGCGAGTAAAGAAGCAATTCCGCCTCTCGGCTTTAATAAAAATGATGAACAAATTTTTGGATATTAATAAATAAAATATTATTCAATTATTTAAAAAGTATTAAAATATAATAAAATTACCATGAGCCGATTTTCCTTTGAAAATACTCTTAGATCTTGTTCAGATATAAATTTATGTCTTCCTGAGCACAAAAGCCATATTTCCGAAATTTTCTTGTTTCTCATATTAGTTCGTTTAATATCTAACTGATAGATTTGTACTTCATCAACAACATTTTGACGTGAAAGACGACAACTATCAAAATTATTGATTTCTGTTCGCCAGATCAATTTAGTATTTGTGTCATCCATGCGAAATAAACTACATGATTCTATGTTCCTTAAAAATAACATCTCATTCATATCCTGTACATCATTAAATAGTTGCAAAATTTCACCAATTTCGTAAAATTTATTTGAAATATCACTTTGATCTCCAGTAGTAGAAGTTCTAAGCGGAAGCCTAAATAGTGTTCCTTTGAATTCTCTTGAAAAGTTACAATTCAACATTTTGTAAGGATGACATTGATCGTAAAAACTCTTAAAATTCTTTTCCATAAAATCAATCCGAGCGCCTTTTGGCCTCCTGGGAGGAAATCCTTGTTCAGGAAGGAATTTTGCATGTGGATCTAAAAATGCAATGTATTTTCCACTTACAAAGCTAGGTAAATCCGTAACGTGGAAAGCACAATTAAATCCTATTCCAAATCTTCCGATTTTCTTTTCATCACGAGATTTTCCTCTGGTACCAAGTTTGAGTAAAGACCGGAAGTCATCATCTGTAAACTCTGCGTTGTTATAAATCCATATCGCAGGACCTTGCCAACATACCATTTCATCTGAAAATAGATTTTTGGAATTGTGCTGAAAGGTTCTTTCATCTACAAATACTGAAAATTCCGTGGCTCCAGCATCATCGGCATTCTATATTTGATGAAAATGTTATCATATAAAGTATATTTGAAAACAAAAAATCATCCAATTACTCACTTGAAGAAATTCTTTAAATAAGGAATCTATCGAATAATCCTAGTAATTGAATTTTTAAAAAATTAATGTCCGATTAAGTAAAAGTATTACCTAAACAATAACATTAATTACAAATCAAAAAGTTACATCAAGAATATTTTTGATTCTGGTAGTCAATGATTCATGTTGTTCGTATGTCTCCCAATCTGAATCCTTATTACCTAGAATAAAAATTAAATGCTTAGATGATTTATAAAAGATAAAATTAAAATAAATTATTTATTTTATTTTAGTTACCGAATATTTTTCCTTTCAAAGTTTGAATCCCTAATCCCTCGGCAATGTTCTGAGTAACAAAATTATGTGTAATTTCATACTTGCTTTTCTCGTTATCATCAAGTCTATCTCCCATATCATCATAATAAATATCTTGTAATTCCACAAGTTTATTATTAGTACTTGGAATCAATAATTCATCTAATCTTTGCAGATTATTTCCTTCTATCTTATCATCATTTTGAATTTTCGCAATCCGTTTAAGAATTTCAATAACATTTTCTATTTCGTTTGTTGATAATTCTTCATTTTCATTCATGTCTCTAATTATTAAAATTAGATCCCTGACTCCAATTTCATCTAAAATTTTGATATTTAAATTACATCCACCCCATCTAGCTTTTGCGCTATTGTACAAAATTTCATATAACTCAAAATCAATCGTTTTGTCGATTAACTTATCACTGTTTAGTTGATTTATGAGGTTATTGGTATGCTCATTTCTATAATTTGTAATCTCATCAATATACACATAAGAATCGCTATATAAAGTTAAAGTACCAAGCGTACCATTTGCTAGTGGAATCATTTTGAAACCCTCTAATTCGTTAAAATCTCTATCACTTAATATATACTTAAATAATTGTAAGACGTCTTGTCTCGATACTGCAGCGTCTTCCCATCTAGTACGATTGAATTTTAAATCTAAATAATCACGAATAACAGCAGGGGATAGACGTTTAAGATTATCATTATGTCTAGATCTTTGTAAAATACGGATTATATCGTAAGAAACTGATATCACAGGAAATCCAATATTTCCAATTATTTTGAGTAAATTGCTATCGAGTGACTTTTCATCCAAATAGCCATCTGAAAGCGAAAGCCAACAATATCCAATAGCATTTAAAGAAGGTCCATTGAACACACGATCCTCAATGTTAAGATTTTCTACAACATTTTTTAATAGATCTTCGCAAAAAGTGTTTATGCTATCCGACATGTTTATGGCCCTTGGCCAGAATCTATATATATCGTTTAGTTGAATATCAGTATCATCAACTTTCGTTAGTTCAAGAAGGAATCCTATCCATGCTTTAGGTAAGACTTTTTCAAATAAATATTTGTTCCATTGAATCTTCAAATTCGCTAATCCATCAAATGCCTACAAGTTCAATATTAATATTCAATTGGTCAATAAATGTTAAATTATCAGATAGGAATAATCTGTTAAAGAAATTACCAGATCTTCATTGCCTGCAGCTGACCATAAAGAACGTCGGTTATTACTGACCTGTTAAAGCAATAAAAAAAAATCATTAAAAATAATCTATGACCATAAAAATAACAATATCAAACTTGATTCATACCGCAAAATATCCATGCACGGAAACGATAAAAGGCATATCAATAGGAAGAGGTAAAAAACAAAATAATCTTCCGATAACATTTAAAGAATTCAAAGGAACAGCCAAACCAACATTAGGGATAAATTTGTGATCTCCTATGCTTTTATTGAATCTTTTCTGAAAATGTGCCTCGGTTTCTAATAAATCATCAAGATAATTTAAAATTAGCCATCGGTTAATTTCTCCGTCAGTATCTTCTCCTTTCTGATGACGGAATGATGCAACATAAGATGATTTCAGTTGAGTATTATCGTTAAGTTTGCCTAATCTTAACTCATCCATTAATGGTACAATATTTTCGACTATTGAAGATCGTTTATTCCGAACTTGAATAGCATTATCTAATTGAATTTTATATAATAGTTCAGGTTTGCTAGCTCCTTTTTTCAATTCATAAAAAGAAATACACTCAATATGTTTCAAAAACAACAAGCAATGAATGCTCTCATTCTCGTAAAATTTACGAAACATTTCCAAAATTTCATCAGTTTTGTATATCTTCTTAGAAATATTCGAAAAAGTAGAATCACGAAGAGGATAACGAAAGATAGTGCCATCAAATCGTTCATTACACGAGATTCCAAAGGGAGTAAAAGGAGCAAATTGATCTGGATATTCTTGGATCAAATTTTCTTCGATAAAATTGAATTTGACGCCACCATTATAATACCATTCATGAGGATCAAGAACAACATATTTATCACCAGTGATGAAAGAAGGAGAATCAGTAATATGATAAATTGAGTTAAAACCGACACCCATTACTAATTAAAAAAAAAGAGAGATAACATCAGAATATAGAGTACTATTATAGAAATCAATAAATCGAAAAATTACCTCCAATCTTATCAAATTGATCTTGTTTTTTACTATCAGCCAAGCTCAATAAAGATTCAAAATCATTATTTTCAAAAGTAGTTTCATTTATTGCTAAAAGTGCGGGACCTTGATATTTATCGATATTTAAATTGAAATGCTTATATTTATTCAAATGTGGTTCCAATAGTCTTTCTGATTGATACGTATTATGGTCCAGAATGAAAGTTTGTACCTTACTCTTAGCATCATCAGAATTTTGAAGAATTTCACGAAGAACTTGTGTACCATCAGGATATTCTTCAAGAAGTTTCTTTAGACGATGAGTATAAGGTTCCCGTGGTTTAAACTCTTCTCCTCTTGGAGGAGTGCCAGGATTATTATTTAGGTTAGTCATAATATTAGAGAGAAAAGGACTGACTTTTGACAATAATTATAGAAACGTTCTAATGAAATAAATAAATAAATAAATAAACTACGAATTGTAAAGACAACTCGCAACTTAATTCCAAAGGGATTTTTTTTTCCGCATAAAAAGGCGCGAGTGTTCCACAAATCAAGTCTCACGTGAAATCAGGTAAGGTTTAAGGGGTACTCACTGTTTTAAACTTTTAATACTTTGTCTTTCACTCCTGAAATCAGTATATAGAAAGTGAGTAACGTAGATTGACGGAGAATATATATTTTCATATGATAAATGAATATCCTAAACCCTGATAAGATTTGTGCCAGTGAAGTTTAATATTTACGATCGTTATTCTTTTCTAATCACGTAGAAAGATTATCTAAAGCTTGATCATGGAGATAAAATTTAGAGAAACTTTATTTACAATTGAGGCTAATATATGATCCGTTACTTGAAAGGATATTAATAATTTGGATGATCATCCAGATTTAGTAGACAAAGACCTGCAGATTTAAGGTTTAGTAGTTAGTCATAAGTCGATAAACGTAATATTATAGTAATGGATCTGCCAGATATCCGGATAACGGATATTCGAAGTGTAATTTGCGTATAGTAAATCTATTACTATATATAAAATTATGGAAACTATTCTAATTTCAAACATTTTATTTGTAATTGTAAATAAAAAGCGTTTTATGTGTTTTTGATATTAATACTTTTTATTTTATTTTTTTACTTCAGTTATTACTTTCAGTTATTACTGCAAATTTAACAAAAAGTAAATGGCTAAAATACGTTTCACAAAAATTTATATTTAAAAAATTATTTTGTACAGTTACTAATAAAAAATTTCTTTAATTTCTTTTTGGTAAAGAAACGTTTACAATAGCTCCTTATAGGCCAAGGATTGTATAAATGTGAATGAATTAAATACAATCAGTCTGTTGCAAATTATAAAACTATGCACAGCCTGTACAGCCTACCACGATTTCAGTTTTCTTCAATACATTTGATATTAAAAAACTCACGTGAATAAATTATCATTTTTATAACTATGGTGTAGTTTTTCAAATACAACAAATATAGGGAATATATCATCAAACTTATATTTTTAAAAAAAGAAAGTATTTTGCATGACTCGCTAAATCATTGTTAAATGCAGTAATAGAATAACTGTAATAACGCAATTATTTATTTCAGGAGAGTGTAACACTATATATATATGTATATATATATACTTAGCATCCACATAATAGAGTATTATGAAAAAGGGAAATATTTTAAGCGAATAGATAGAAACGTCCCTGTAAAAAAAGTCGATCCGTTATCCGTTTTTCATATTCCATCTTTTTTTCCGTAAAAGGCTCATTATTACGGAAATAACGGGTAAAATTTTTTATAGGTCATGTTTAATCAATAATACGTAATTAATTTAATTATAAAAACTTTATTCTGTGCTCGTTATCATTCAGGTGCAATATTAACACGTGATTGATTTGTATTTCATCGGCTAGTGCAACTAACGCTTTCTTTCAGAAATAAATTTTTATCTCACTCTGAAACGTAACAATATTTTTTTATCTGTGCCAAATATCCCTACTGGAACTAACACACCTGCCTCTGCATCTTCTATTACTGACCACCACAACTGAAAAAGCAAATGTTAATTCGTAATCTGTGGAGAAATCATCAATTTTGATTAATGTTGATCGGAATAAATACATATATGAAGTGTCTGAATCTCTTTTGCCATACCCACTACTGCTATTTAAACACAATCTAAATAGTAAAAAGTAAAATTATGACGTTTCCCTACTTTCAATGGGAATTATTGATCCAAATTGCATTTTAGACCCTTTTCTTATGACTGGTGGATAGTTTGTAACCAAGAAATGGAATTTCTTGTATCTATTCATTTGCATATGAAAATAATAGTCTTTTTAAATGGCCACAACTTTATTTTAACAGTTGTAAAAAAACATTCTGGATATCTTTGTAATTGTGAAACTTTTGTACTACTAAGTCAAGTAAATCTAGTACTGACGCGATATCTATAGTCCATCAACAGTAGGGATGAAAATCAATTCGTTAGTTCTAATTCAGTTCAAAGTTCAGAATGGTTTTTATGGTTAAAAATAGTTTTAAGCCTAAGAGATTCAGAATCTTTTAAATTTTAGAATCAACTCGAATTAATTCATTTTGAACTGATTCCATCCCTAATCAACAGATGTTTCATACCAAAAAGTATAGGTAAAAATCCATATTATTGGCTAATTTATTATGATTCAATTTTAATGTGATCGGCAAATATATGTAACAGGAAAATACACCGCATAATAACAACTACTCAAATTTTCCACGAAAGTTCAACAGTTTTTTCTCAACCAAGATTCAGTTTCAGTTTAAACAAATCCAACTTTAGGTTAGACTTCTCTTAATAGCAATATCAAGAGGTTTTTTATAGGTGTTTTATGTAAAGTTTGAAAATTTTATGATTAAAATTTGTACTATAAATAGTAAAAAGCTTTTTGTAAAAATTTAGTCCAAGTATTTATTATACAACAACCATTGTATATATTTCAAATTATCATTAAGGTCTTGTTCATTGTATAATTTGTATCATTCAAAGTTAATACTTAAAATATAGGGATGGTGCCACAATTGATTGATCAAATCCGCAATAGAGTCAAATTGCGGTTAGTGATACGCAAATCCGCAATTCACCTGATCGGTTTTTGCATCAGTTCCCGAACCGATTTAATAAAAAAAGACGTTGCGAATCGTTTTTCTAAGTAATTTTAATTAAAAAAAATGTTTTCGCAACATTTTTTTTTTTTAATTTAACGAAAAAATGATAATTTAACCATGAATATAAAATAAAGTTAAAATTAAATATAATAATTTAAATCTTATTGTCTACAATCCGTAAGTATTTTTTTGAAAGATCAGTTAGTCGCAAAAATCAAATAATAATGACTTTTATATTCAAAGAAAATTAAATATCAAAATCAAGCTCTTTAGTTTTGTAATCTATATATTAACAAATAGAATTAATTATTATATGGATTTATTGATTAAAAAAATATTTGTTATTATCACTGTTTGCTTACTTACTAGTTTTATTACTATTTGATTCATTAGAATTTACATTATCATGAATGTCAAATATAAGTTCTTTTGTTAAGTAATCTATGTAGAAGAGAAAACAAAATACTAAATTTAATCGAGTTAAAATAAAGATTATAAAAACAATAAATTCATACCATCATTTTTATCTTCACATAATTTAAATTTTTTAACAATTTTGTCTAGATATCATTGTATTTATAAAAATTTGTAATTTATTTAATTATCTGTTTTAGCAAATTAACAACTTGACTTTGGAAAAATTAGTTTTAAAAGAAAATATTTGTTATACCTTCATTATTATTTTCATTCAGATTATTATTAAATTTTCTTTTGCCTTATTAAAAAAAATAACTCACATAAATTTATGGTACAGTAGACTAAATAAATAGGATAAAATAAATTTCTTACCAAGTTCTGGGAGAATACATTGGCTTTTTAAGCTTTTGGTAAATTTTGCAGATTTTATCATTGCACTTAAAGGTCTACTTTTATATATAGCACCTGGATTGTTTGTGGTTATAGGTCCAATATCTGACGATCTTATGATCTTAGTTGGATTATTCTCTTCATTACGGTAATACAATTCATATTTAAATTTAAGTGAAATATCATTAGCATTTGGCCTTTCGTTTGGATCAGAATGCCAACATTTTTGCATTAATTCAATATAACCTTCAGGTGCATTAGTGACAATTGGAGGACGAATACTATCACATATTTCAATAATAAGTTCTGTATCATGACTTTTATCCCAAAATGGTCTTCTACCTGTCATTAATTCCCACATAATCATACCAAAACTATATATATCTGAAGCTTTAGTATATTTTTGTCCTTGAAGAACCTCTGGAGCAACGTAAGGAATAATTCCATAAACCTCATTACCATTATCTGATGATCCAATTGCAGATTTACTTATTCCAAAATCACCTGTTATTGCTGATGTATCATAATTACCTTCTATTTCTTTACTAAATATATTACCACTGTGATAATCTTGATGGATAATATCTGCACTATGTAGAACTTGAAGTCCTATTATCATGTCTCGCAATATCTTTAATTTAATTCCCCAGCTAATATTAAAAAAGTCATTTGAAATATAATGTGTTAGATCTCCTAATTTATAGTAATTCGTAATTATTATAAAATTTAGAGTAATTGGATTTTGCGTGATTCCATAATATTGATTAAGAAGACTTGCTCTACATTTTAAAATAAAATTATAAAATATTTTAAGCTGAAATAAAAGTTTGTTAGTTACCATTTATCTAGCATTTGTAAACAACTTAATAATTCTAAAAATATAGATTCTAAAGAATTAAATGAGGTACGGTATCTTTAAGTTCCTTAAGAGCAACTATCATTTCACCAAAGCGTTTAAACTCTTGTTTTTCTTCATCCCATTTATTGGTTATTAGTCCATCAATCCAAGTAGCTTTATAAATTTTACTGAATCCTCCTTCAGCAACAAATTCAATATTCTTGAATCTATCGTAAGGAACAAATTCTAATTTCGTATCTGCATGGCAATTACTTAATGTGCTCTTTATAAAATTATCGATAACTTTATTTCCACTCAGTTTGCCGATTTTTGCTTTATAACATAAATGACAAATTTGATGAATTTCATTTATAAGTTTTATTTTTTTCTTACACTCATTGCATTTCTTAACTTTTAGTTTAAGCGTGTTTCGTATTGGATAATTTAAGGAAGTTAGTTCCTGAGTTTGCACTCTTTGGCAGTTCGGGCTCAATTGAGTCAAAGATGTATTATTTGAGTCAATTGATTGATCCATAATTTTAAATTAATTCCCTAACTCAAAATTACCATATATTTATAAATTTGTTTGTAGTACGGGTTTGAAAAAGCAAAGCATGATCACTTGTCCTTTTGAGGAACTGATCAGCTAAAAAATTCCTGAATTTACAAATAAAAGAGTTTCCAAAAAAGAAGTTTTCTAAAGAATAAAGTTTGCAGAAAAGTTCTATCATAACATTCATCGTGGAACACCTTTTAATTTTCTTAGTTTTCCATGTTCGAAATTCAAACCTAAGTTCTTGGTAGAAAGAACTAGACGTTTTTAGCAGCAAAAATATCATTTTGATTCGTGTAACAGCCGGTTACACCCAATTGATATCAGTTTTATGCATTGGTGTGACAATTAGACCTAAGAAATCAAAAAAAATATCGACATTTTGTTGAATTTAAATAATTTAATTTAAGTGCATAAATCCCTATTTATTTTTATTTACCATTTTGTTACTGGAAAAAGCTCTAAATGCCGAATTATACTTCCATGATGGATATTAGATAAGCTTATTTATTATTAAAATAATTTTTTTATTTAGAACTATAAAATTTTAAGGTGGTAATGAAAATACTATGTATTAGAAACTTCCTTCGTATATTATTTGCGCAAAGTAACGTTCCATACATGTGGCGGATTGTGGCGCGGTAAAATATAACTTTATTCAATCACGTTAAGAACACAGTTAAAGTAAAATTTAAAAATCGGAGTGGAAGATTAGGATAGATTTCATTTTTGATTTCTATTAATTTTTATTAGTGTGAGAAGATCTTTTAAAAAAAAAAAATTTATGGACTAAGCTTATAAAAAAAAATTGTTTTATCAACGATTGATTTAGAACTTATTTTTTTTTTTTAACGATTTGATACACAATTATTGTTAAATCATAGTATAACGATATGTTTAAATAAATAATATAAATAATTCTAATAAATAAGACAAAATATATTGGGAACAAAGTATTTAATTCTAATGCAAAAATTCACAATCTTTCTCATATATCAATTCATTCTTTTTTTAGACATTAAATCACTAGTAAATAAGTAAATAACAAAGAAAATATTAATAATGTTGAACAATTGGGATAATTTCACTGAAAATATATGGGATAGATAATGTATAATAAAATGAGTACAACTTTTTTTATAAGTTTTTAGTTAGAAAATGGATATATTTTAAAAATTTTTCTTCCTGAGAATTTTGTTATGATCGTCCCCAATAACTGTCACTCTTTATAATTTAAATAAGGTTTATCTTCAAACATTAAAACCAATTCAATAATTTAAAACTATGAATCAATAATGATAGGCTTGCAAAAAAGAAACAAGAACAAAAATACAAAGTAATTAAGTCTGAAAAATAATTAGTATTAATATTTTTATTAATATGATTTATATATACTGTATATATAAAAGATAAATTCATTTTTCCAATACATATAAATTCTAATCGAATTTAACAACAATACACTTATATCAATGGTTGACTTATTACTTTATATATATTACTTTAGCGTAAAATAATTTACGTCAAATAGGACAAGTAACTTCTACAAATAATTACAATAAAGTCGTAATATTTGTAATATTAGTATCATATAGCATAACGTCAAATAAATTGTTAGTAATTTTATGTCATTTAAATTGTATATTACACAGTGAAGTTAATCTAATAGAAAATTCGAGATATCTTTGAGAGTCATGTGATAAGGTGAATCATGTTTGGTATGCATATCAACTAATAAATGATACACTGTATATCTAAAATGATAATCTTATTCCCGTGTTTCATTTTTTGGTACAAAATAATGTCCGGTAGTGACTGATAAATACTCACAATAATGCATAATTTGAATGCATTGTATATATTATTGATTAACTACCATGTTTATTAACGTAACTGATTGTCATAATTGTGATAAATATTCATAATGCACAATTTGAAATAAAACCATATCAGATATACATTGTATACATAATTATGTTCATTAACGTAACTGATTGTCATATTGTACAAAAATAATGCAACAATAAAACAATAAAAACGCTTATTTTCGTCCATTTTCTGAGTCGACGACGACTAAACACAGCTTGAAACGAACTTAATTTACATGATTAATTATACAAAATGCGTCTAAATGATTATTTCTTTACTCATCAAGGCTTAGATCGACTTTTTTTTACAGGGTAACCATATATTTTTAGTAATTTAAAATTTTTTAAACGGGAAAAAAGTTTAATTACATTATTTCGTTTCAATATTGGCAAAAGCTGAGTCAATGACGATTAAACAACAGCATTGATGCGTCATGAAATTTTTCTATTATTTAAGGACTCCATACGCATTAAAAAGTTTTTATAGAATTTAAAGATTTCTTTATTTTAGGTTTCCTAAAACTTTAGAGATATTCTTAAAAAAAATATTAAAAATAAAATATTAAAAATATTCTTATTCTTATTAACTAATCATGAGCGACTCCAAAAACTACTCCGGCCGAAATGGTGAATTCTATGTTTGATTTGTATTAATTGTATTACTTAATTAATTACTAACCAACCTTTCTACCTTTTAGTCCTTACTTCTTTTATAAAAATGCGAAGCAATGATTTATCATGTTTATCATATCGTGGGTTCTTGGAATCTAACCGTGATACCATCATCACTTCGATCACATCTACAAACACATGCAATGGTCTTGATAATATATGGATTCATCATTTTCTGAAGGAAGCAGAATTACTCTTGGATCAAAAACTTTTTATTGCATTGAAAAATAAGGTGCGTTTTTTTTTTATTTTGCAAAGTTAGGGTAACTCCTATGTCAAGTGCGTCTGGGCTAGGAGAATTACTGGGTTCGTTCGATTCCAAGCTTTCAATTCAGGTGTCCTAACTTTGTAGTTGGTAAAAGTCTGCTGATTCTGGAGGAGGAACCGGCTATGTACCTTCTTTTACCACTAAATAAAATTTTGCGCACTGCTAATAATTCGTTTCTTATGACAGGTAAACGTGGAACGCTCGCAGCACAAGAAACATTTACAAAAGTTCTGGCAGGAAGCAATCAAGAGGGTGAGTGAATATATTATTATTTTTGTGTAAGTATAATTTACTAAGCTATAACCTATTTATAGAATTCCAAAAAAAGAAAGCAGACTAAAGATAAAGAAAATATTCGACCATCAAAGAAGTCCCGAAGCTATATAACTCTTTTTTGTTGGGTTCGTGGGGATGTGCCTGCAGCTGTGCACGCTATTACAATAAATATTAGAAAGGAAAACACTATTGGCGAGCTAAAAGATCTTATTAAAGAGAAAATTGAGGTCCCCACCATAGCGAAAGATATTAAACTTTGGAAGATCGAAATTCAAGATAATCGCGACGATGAATTAGCAAATTTCCCACTTCAAGACTCTGATATGCTTCTTGCCACCCGCAAAATTGGGGAATATTGGGGAAAAATGCCACCAAAACGATATATTCATGTTATTATAGATTTTAAAAAATGTAATACAAACTCTCTTCTGAGACACGGCATCAATAGTCTTCTCAACGATCATAATATTGATGAATTGTGTTTATACATCGAATCAAAATTAAAGGAATGGATCAAGAGAGGAAATCTTTATGAAGACAGAGAACTGGTCACAAAAGTGTTGTTTCATGCCCTGCTCTCAGATATCCCAAATTACTATGTTGATACGGAGGTTCCCATAGACATTTGCCACAATGTATCCCTTTATGCCGATCTTTTGATAGTTGAACTCAAATCAGCTGATAATACAAAGCGGAATCGGTTTATTTTTGAGTTCAAGAATAAAAGTGTCAACTTCTTGGATTTGCGAATCAGTGGTATGTTTTCACATTCTTGCCTTTTTTGTTTACTATTATTTTATTTAGATTTGTAATCAAACTTTTTATTAAATCAGGTAATAATTGTAACTGGGAAGTGATGGAACAAAGAGCACAAAAAGTCGAAACAATGTCAATAAGTGATGTGCGTCGATTGAAATGTGGCAATGCAGAACGATTTGATAAAGGCAAGACTATAGAGGATATTTTCAGTGATGCCCGTAAACAACTCCTCAATTATATTCACAATTTAAAAGATAACTCATTTCATACTTCAGCATTTATTGTGATGTCAGTGGGTTCGAGAAGATTAATATGGGAAAAAGTTAATTAACCAATTCCGTCTATATGTATTTTTACGGGTTCAGGGATTCTTAGTCATGTATATTTATTTGTATGGTCACGGATGTTATGCATTATTCACTGAAGCTGGAAATGACTCGCTTACGTTGTTTATTAATCTATTCTTCATAGTATGCGAGTTTAACTGTCGGTGAAATGGTAAATTACCTTTATCTTACTAATAATTTAATTTCATGATAGGATGAAAAACATAATAATCTTTAAACTTGCTTTTTTAAAATATATATATAATATATATACACAATTGTATAAATTAACGTTTACTTTATAATATATTGAAATAAAAGTAGTCAATAATCTACGTATACGTTAAACAAATGACAAATTCCAACCTTCAACATGAACCATTAGAAACGAATAATATAGAATACTTAATATATTTTGATCTTAATAATATCATAGAACATAGAATACGATATTATCATTTATTTTATAAATTCATGATTTTTAAATTGTAAATTAACTTAAATTCTATTGATTGCCAGAGATCTCGAGTAATTGCGTTCTTGTTTATATATAAAAAGTGAATATTAGTTTTTGCAGTAAGTTCTATTATAACGTTCGCTATAAAAACCTTTTGTTTTCTAAGTTTGAAATTCGAACCTAAGTTGTTAACGGAAAAGCATTGGATTTCATTTTAATTTTACCATTGATTTTTTTGTTATTTTTCACTTTTTCGAGGAAAAATTTTACTTCTAAAAAAGAAAATTTATGAACTAAAGTTATAAAATCAATGGTTGGTTTAGACTTTTAAAAAGTTTGGTCATTACACCTTTTTTAAAAATTTTTTTTTTTTGCTGCGGTAATTATAAAATTTTAATCACACAATAAAAATACCAACTGTACGGTACAGTAAGTATTTAACTTTATTTAAATGTGTCTACTAAACAAGTTAATCTTGAGAATAAACTCGAACAGCATGTTTTAATAAAGGATAAATTTTCACAAATTTGCCGTAATATGCAATTTCAATTGATTGTGATAACCTTCTCTCAAATGAACAGTCAGTACTTAAAGTACAATGGATTGGCTGCGCTTGATACCTGATGATATTTGTTTGGTTAATTATCGTACAAGGAGTTAGTCAACATATTAATTATAATGCAAAAAAATTCCGTTATCGTTTGTTAATCATGAAGGGAAAAAAGCAATAAGTGTTAATGTCAAAGATATTTTGTATCATGAAAATTCATATATTAAAGGAAATAAGGCCTGAGGCAATAAATAGATTAGTCGTAGAAACTAATGAAGCTGTAGAGAAAATCGAAAATTTTCAGTCTATAAGAATCTGTAAAAAAAATGGATTTAAAAAATAGTAAGAATAAATAAAAAAAAAGGTAACCGGGTGGCATCATTCCAAGAGGATAGGGATAACTGAAACACAAGAGTCAAATTAACTTTTTTCGTTAGCATTTTCTATCAGCAAAAAAAATCACCGTTACCTAGTTGTGTACTACGACTAACCGTCAGAATATTCACGTGATTTTTCCACATCCTTGTATCCATTTTTCAATTTTTAGTAGAAAATACATACTATTTGTCACATGTACGGGGCATTTCGTAACTTTTTTACGCTGGGGTAGTCAGTAGTGTACTTACTGTACACTAATTTCCATATTTACAATAGCTTATGCCATATTCACTTCATCAAGTTCAACATCTCAAAATATTTACTTAAGACATTTAAAGTGACGAGAAAGAGGCTTGATAATAATAAGATTGAAAATTACTATAAGTGTATACAATTCTGTATGATTTTTTTATTCTATTATTATATTCGTAAAGTTTCACTTTTTTCCCTGAAAAAAGTTCATTTTTCCAATACTTTTTTCAATACAATTGATCGACCGATTTTATCGCAGTTTAATAACACATGATCTTTTTGAGAATTTTTCTTTTAAATCCGAAAATATCATGAAATGAGACATACAGTACAATACGTACAGTATAATAACACTTATTTATATTATTCTACTTTAAATATAAACATATCTGATAATTGTTATCGTATATTTATCAACTTGATGATATTTAAAAAATAAGATTATCGTACATAAATAATCTATAAATAAAATTTTATTCTAGATCGAACTTGTCTCGATGAAATATCTTTTTCGATTTTTAATTGCATCACTAAATGGCCTTTGTACAATGTTTTTGTGAATAAAAGAAGTATCGTGAATAACATATGAAACAAAGCCATTTTTTTAATTGATATAATTGATAGCTATAAATAGATCTTCCATTCTTGCCATATCGGATTCATTGATAACCAACTGGTTTTGTAATCCATCTTGCATAAATTAATCTAATAAAATAAAGTTAAGACTAACGATATACTTATTACTTATTAAGATATATAGAATAACTAGAATAGGAATAACTCGATTGGCATAATAAATTTTTATTTTAATGTCAAAATTTCCCTCAATGAACTTATTGTTTCCAAATTTATTAGTTTTGTATAAGATCTACAATTTGGTGCATAATCACTTCCACATGAAAAAGATTCAATCATTCATAATTATCCCTATAAAAATTTTCCAAAAAAATGATCACATGTCTGAATTTCTTCGGAATATAAACTAGAAAAATGATCATTTATCGGAATTTTATCCAGAATTTTTTTTATAAGGTTACTGTATACAGATGTTTAACTACTAAAATATTTGACCATTATGTTCCAAATAAATTTACGCATGCTTTTAAAATTTTTTTTTATCTTTCTTTAAATAGGCTACATCTTGGATACTCTTTCAAATAAAAAAAAAATTATTTCCTTGATATCAACATGAGCCGGTTAAGTATATCTATGAAATAAATTAATATCAAAATTTTCTTTTAACATTTTTTTTTCGGCTTCTTCTAATATTTAGAATCATTGACGATGTTTCCTATCCGGCTGTTCTTTTAGTAGGAAAAACAGGTATAATGTTCGGTTAATATTTAATATTGTTTTTTTCTTCTTTTCTCCTTCACTCTTAATTATGAAATTTTAGGTGCGGGAAAAAGTACTCTGGGTAACTTGCTTCTTGCGCAACCATACGATAATGGTCCTTTCCAAGTTTCAGCAGATATGGTAAGTTGTTTACATTTCATATTCAAAATTTATCTCATTATTTTAATGAAAGTAATGTTAAATTTATTAGGAATCTGTTACGCAAGAATGTGGCACAGCTAAGATTTCAATCGATGGTGTAATTTATAATATCATCGATACACCAGGGATTTTTGATACTCAGCTAGTTACGGATAAGATACTTGAAGAAATCGCTAAAACCATTAAGAAATGCAAATATGGGATCAAGGCTATCCTTTTTGTTCTTGGTTTGTAATAATAATTATTAGAATTTATAATCTATACTTTTTTGTTTTCATAATTAACTTTGAATGGTTTAATAGAAGCAAAACGGTTTAGTGCTGAACAAAGAGGTGTTTTGGAAGGAATAAGAAACTTTTTTGGAGAAGGCGCAACGAATTATATAATTGCTATATTTTCTCATGCAACAAAAGCACAGATTTATGATAGAGATATAATGCGAAAAGCATGGAATCAACCTGTTTGTTCCTTTATTGAGGATATAGAAAATCGTTGGGGTATCTCTCCAAACTCTGATTATTTTCCACCAGATGATCCAACTCATCAGGCACGATTAGGTGAAATAAAGGCATTCATTAGCAGTATGCGAGGAGTTTATACCACTGAACAACTTGAAAAGTCTATACAAGAACAAGAAAAGGCTCGTCGTCAAAAAGAAGAAGAGGAAGAAAGAAAAAAACAGGAACACGAAGAGAAATTAAAAGAGATTGCAAGAAAAGAAGCTGAAGAGGCCCACAAACGTAAGGTTGAGCAAATGGAACGAGAGCGAAAGGCAAAACAAGAGTATGAAGAAAATTTAAGGAGAAAACAACAACAAGAAGCTGAAGAACGGCAGAGGCAAATGGTTGAGAAATTGAAACAAGAGGAAAGAGAAAGAAAGATACAAGAAGAAAATTTAAGGAGGAAACAACAACAAGAAGCTGAAGAACAATATAGACGAAAACTTGAGCAAATGCGACGAGAGCAAGAACGAGAAGAGGAATTGAGAAGACAACGAGAGCGAGAATGGGAATTAAGAAGACAACGAGAGAGAGAACAAGAATTAAGAAGACAACGAGAGAGAGAAGAAGAATTAAGAAGACAACGAGCAAGAGAAGAGGAATTAAGAAAACAACGAGAACGGGAAGAGAATTTAAGGAGGGAACGAGAAAGACAAGAGCAACAAAGACTTCAAGAAATGTATAGAAGGCAACGTGAAGAAGCAGAACGAGAACGTATGAGAAGAATGGAAGAATTACAAAGAGAACAGGAGAGACTACGAAGATTCCAAGAGGAGAGGAGACGCCAAGAGGAGAGGAGACATGATGATGATTGTCGTATACTTTAAAATTTATTTGAAAATTACACAGTTACAATAAATCTGAAATATCTTCAGTAAAATCGCTTTCTCCATTAATAAAATCACTAAAATTGTGTGACATTTTATTATTAAAATAATTTTTTTTGTCGTGCTAATTACCAATGAATCAAGTATGAAAAATTGATATTTGGTCATTCGATTAACATATGTTTGACGAGCCTACTTAGTTCTTGGCCACAGCCAATTCCCATTTCCAATCAAATCAATTTTGGCCGTCAATTTGGTCGTTGGATTTAGCCGATTGGCCAACTATTTTAAAGCAATCAAAACGAATATATATTATTTAGAATGCTGTATGTGTAGTATTAATCATAAATACATAATTTTTTGTCTACTATTGAATTAGTTTTTAATAAAAATTACAATTTTTAAATGAACACATCTTAAACTATACTAGTATGTGCCCGAACTACGTAAATGGTTCGTCAATACATCTTAAAAAATGTAATCAAATAACAATATAAATGATAAAATTTTTATTATTGAAAAATCTCTGGATATAATACATTTAGGCGACATAAGGTTAAAATTGGTTCTCATACCCCAGTCGGGTCACCAGAGCGGGAATCTCAAATTTTATTTTTAGTTTAACCAATAAATTGCTCTAAATTATATCACATGATAAATTAAAGATACATTTAGTATTACATAAGAACACAGTCAAAAGGAAGGCTGGATGCCTGTCAATTCCTCTAATATAACAGTACAGATTGCTTATAATGTAAATTCAATTTAAATGAAAACATAAATATTATAAAATGATTTCCTCACGCCAAGTCATAGTTTTAACTATAAACTGCTAGTGGAAATCAAAACAATAAAGACTTGTTATTTTTTATAATATTTAACTGATACAAAATTTACGTAATACAATACAAATTAAAGCAAATTTTTATATGAGAACCTTTTAACTTTTATATCACCTTAATTAAAGTTACATTATCTTTTTTTTCTACTACGTCTTTTGCGACTACACTGCTGACATTCACGCGCAAAGAGTTTTTTGGTGTTCTTTGAGATCTTTCATTTTTTTTTAAAAAAATATATACTGTATATAAGAAAAAAATTTTCGAAAATTTAAAACAAGAAATTGACTTATTAGCAGGGGAGCTGCCATTCGATTTTATTTCGTTATAGTAAGAACTATTTAAAAGAGAAAACTAAATAGTAAGCTTTATTTACTAATAAATTCACGAAATTTTCGTGATTAGGTACTTATTAGAGCACTTGGTTAATCGATTATTAATTGGTTAAGGTTTTTTTGGATAAAAATAATTTTTTATTTTTTCTTGAATACTTTTATTGTAGTATAACTTGTTATTAATAAAAGAAATAAACAATATTATACTAATCATTTAGATAAAAAAAATCATCTATGTAATTTAAAAATTATAATTTATTTTTTTTTTTTTTATTATACTCAAAGGAATCGGTACATAAAATTATAATTTATTAATTTTCAATTTAACTAATTTTATTTTTACTAAATAAAAATATATATTTATCCTAACTAAAAAATCATGCAAAACATGTTTTTTCAAATAAAAAAAAACAATTTATTTGATTATTATATTACTTGAAAGAACAAAAAAAATTTTAGCAAAAAATATGATAATTAGGAAAATAATTATTATTAAAAATAAGAATCAGAAAAAAAGGTAACGGCGTAATGCTATAGTGTTAATCTGATCACTGACCTAGATTCAAGTCTAAAAACTAAATAAACAATAATATACTTATATAACAATAATTTTAAAAAAAATATATGGAAAAATTATATAAAAAGAATATAGTATAGATTATAAAGGAAAATTAAAAATATTTGAAAATAATTTTGGTTTTAGAAAAAACAACCCCAAAAAGGAAAGGGTGAGTCAGAAAACCTGAAAAATTTTGTTTTTTAAAAGAAAAAATTAAAAAATTAAAAAAATCAGTTTAAAAAAAACCGAAAAAAAAATATCAAAAAAAAAAATGGTTAAAAAAACAAATAAAAAAAATGGATTGAAAAAAATGTTTTTTAAAGATCGGAATAGGACTGGAAATGAAATTTATATAAAGTAATTTTAGTATTACAAGTTTCATATTAGCTAGATCTTATTTAGTGTAGGCTTCAATATAAATTTAATAGAAAATAGATACTTTGTTGACATACTGTATATATATATATATATGGTGAATATGGGTTTGATTACAATGTAATTGGTTCAGTACTAATAAAGTCTTTGTTAAAAAAAAAAA